GCGCTCAGTCGCAAAGCCTTGGCCAGCCCTCTGTGGTCCCACGGACCGTGGCATGCCAGGCTCTCCTGCCTACCACGGCCCCACGCGCCCTGCTCCAGTGACTCCGTCCAGCCACCTCACCCTCCGCCGTCCCCTTCTCCCTTTGCCTTCAGTCCTTCCAGGCAGACACCAGGGGCTTTTCCAGTGAGTCCTTCCTTCTCATTAGGCGGCCAAAGCATTTGAGCTTTGAGCAGGATCTTGGGCCGGCTGTAGGATGGTGTGTATTCACACTGGGATCCCCAAGCCCATCTGTTCCCCAGCACCCCGCACTCCGGGAGCTGCCAGCTGGCCTCCTGTGCTGGACCAGTGGCCATGTTGAGGAGGACTGCAGGGAACACCTCCCGGAAGGCGGCACAGCCCCTGCGGTGTGGGGCTGAGGCGGCCTGGTTGGTCCGTTCTGGAGGCTGCTTCCAGGATGTCTCAGAGATGGCTCCCAGAGTTTCTTCCCAATGGAAACAGCAGCAGCATTCATGGGGGGCATGGAGTCCACGTGGCTCTCCTTTTCCCTGACCTGCTTCACCCCCCTGTCTCCCCCCGCACCTCCCCACAGATGGAAATGCAGCCCAGATCCGGTGGCGTCCCAGCAGGTTTCTCTGCCCTGCTTTTCAAAGAAAGGGTAGTGCAGGAACACCCCCCTCCCCCCGCGTGTCCTGACTGCGTCTGGAACTGGAGCAGGACAGGAAAGTGGCGTTTGGTTCGGGTTGACGTTGAACCTGGCCAAATTGCAACCCCCTTTCTCTGCATGTTTGGGCATGCGGCCTGCCTCATTTTCACCGTGCGAGCCAGTCTTCCCAGCACTTTCTTGCTTCCCTGGCTTTGCCCCTGGACAGCTGCTGGTGCTCGGCGCGTTCCCTGTGCCTAGGCTGATGGGCCGCTGCCTCTGGCGTCTCGCCCAGGAGTCCCGGCGGCAGCCACGGCGCTCTCTCCCTCGGAGGCTGGGGCCCCTGGCCTTTGGCACCCTGTGGAACGGCCCGACTTGCCTCTGCGGCTGCGCCCCCTCGTTCCCTGGCTTGCTTTATCAAGATGCAGTGGGGGCCGAAGCAGCCGCGGTGCCCAGGACTGGCGGAGGGGCAGCACTGTTCCTGCCACCCGGGTTTCGCGGGCTTTGTGGAATCGGCTGGCTGGAAGAGGGAGCAGCAGCCAGAGGAACTGGTTCAGAGGACTGCCACTGCCAAGGCTTTATTTTTTTTGGGGGGGGGAGGGCACAGCTCAGAGAGTTGTGCTGCGGTGATGCTTCCCCTGCCTCTGTGTGATAAGACCTTTGGCCCCCAGACCTTTTTCTGCCCCCTCTTTTCTCCCAGGCTCAAGGAGTTCTCTGGAGCCCAACACAAGACCGACAGATTGCACAGGAGAGGATGGACGGGACCAGCAAGGGAAGGGGCCCTGCAGACCCGACAGCGGGCAGTTGGCTCCCCTTATAACAGCCTTTGGGGCAAAGCTTTTAAAAATGCTCCATAGCAGAATATGGGGGGGGGAGCCCCTCAAGTCATCTCCAGAGCAGGAATGAGGAAGCAGGCATTTCGAGAGTGTTGGACTACAGCTCCCATCATCCCTGGCCTTTGGCCATGTTGGCTATGTCTGATGGGAGCTGGAGCCCAACAACATCGGGTGGGGGCCGTGTGCCCCTCACGCTGCTCCGGAGGGGCCTGCCCAGAGGGTTCAGCATGTGGCCCTCCAGGTGCGGAGCTGGTGCCTTCCCAGCACGGGGGCGCTGCCCCCACCTGAGGCCACCTGTGCGTCTCCCGCTCCATCAGAACCGGAGGTTCCAGGGAGGAAAGCGGGTCTGCGTCAGGATGGGTGAACCGTGGCTCCCTTCGGAGTGCCCCCTCAGGCTGCAGGGTGCCCAGCCACGGGTGGCAGGGCCCGGCGAACGCGCTCCGCCACGGACAGATGCGTCTTGCATGCTGGGGCCGGACGCTGGCAACAGGGGAGCCGAGCCTGCCCCGGCCGAGCCCCCACTGCCACAGCGGCAGCTCTGCCGTGCTGCTCTCCCCCGGCCCCTCCTGGCCTGCGCATGGAAAAACCAGGCCGCGTGTTTCCACCCGGTTTCATGTTCCAGGGCTCCCAGCCGGGCCTCCTTTGTCTCCGGGCCGCGGAGGCCTTCCCCGAACCCCGCTGGCCGCGTGGCGCAGGAGCACACAGGTGCTGCAGAAACCCAACGCCCGCCCCGCTGGTGCTGCCCCGCCTGGTCGAGGGCCTCTGAGACGACAGCGAGCCGCAGGCAGGGCTCGGGTTTCCAGAGCCCCTGCGGGCCCATCAGCCACCCATCAGCCACGGCCGCCCTTCCTGCCCGCCCTCGCTCATCCTTGGCCTCACCGGCCCTCGTCACCAAAGCCCCAGGGAGTGAGCAGCCCGGGAAGGGACCACGCCAGCCAGGAGGCAGAGAGCAGTGGCTGTGCCGTCTGCATAAGACGGGGAGCTGAGCCGGGGCCCCCCTCAGTCCAGGGGCCGGTGGGACGCGGCTCGTGCCTCCTGGGCAGCGGCGCCTCTGCAGGAAAAAGGCCCCAGAGGTGTTTTGCTTTCAAGTAAACTTATGAGAGGCTGTTTTGCTTTTTGGACTTCTTAAAACACGTCAGCATTTAAATCAACACTGTCTTGATTTTGTCTCCAAAGTGGCTGGACCTCTGGGTGAGACAAGAGACCACCAGAGCCCCCAGGTGCAGCAGGACGGCCACCCCAACCAGCGACCACCTTCCTGGGAGCCACACAGCCCTGTAACACAACCTGTCAAGCGGAGGGTTTTAAAAATCTGATTCTGTTTTTCTTGAAAAAGCCTAAGTCACCGGCCGGCTGTGATGGCTCCGCTGGCCGACCCTGGAGGGAGGGAGGAAGGAAAGGGGGGGAGGATTCTGGCGCGGCTGGTGGCACATGGGCTGGCCCCATGGGCTCTACAGTAGGATGGTGTACCTCAGCGACCTGCAGCAGCAGGGGCTGGACTCGATGGCCTCTGTGGCCCCTTCCAGCCCTATTATTCTGTGATTCTATGGAAAAGCGGCCGGGCAGGGCAGGGCCCCCGCTTTGGCTCAGGGGAGGAGCAGAGTGGCGTGAGGGACATGCAATTGCTTAAAAAACACCTTTTCTGGTGGCTTTGGCAAATTTCTTTTCCTAACAGCACTTCTGGTGGTACTTCTCCCAAGGCCAGAAGTGCAATGGTGAGAGGTACTCGCTTTAAAGGTGCGACATGACCTAGAAACACTCTTAATTTTCCAGAGATTGAAATCCATGAGGTGTATTTATATTTGAGGTGCCAGCATTTAATTACTGCACAACTTTTTCATGCAGCCAAGTAACTGGTGCTGTTTGAGCAGTTCAGGATAATTAAAAACAAACAAAAATGCAACATGTTCAAATATCAAGTTTAGAGCAGAGTAAATCAAGGGGGAAAGCCAGCCCTAGAATAAAGACCGAGAATAAAAGCAAAACAGCAAGATGCAATAACATTTTTAAAAGCAAAATGAACGGATGAAAATGTCCTGGGAAGCGAAAATGCCAAAAGGGGCGTTTGGAGGGGATAAAACGTGAGTCCTGATTCCTGCGCCGGAGTGCGGGTGCACTGCAGCCTGCGGCCCCTCTGATGCAGCCTCCTGCCGGGGCAGATGGGACATGGGCTCTGCATGTTGCCTCTCTCGAACACGCGGGCCTTTTCTTCTGCCTGCTCTTCGATGGGCACAGTGTTCCTGAGGTGCAGCCCACAACCCGTCCCCTTCCAAGCAGCCCCATTCAGGCACCAGCCCTCGTTCAGGTGCAGGCGGGCACTGGAGCACACCCAGGGGGCCTCAGAGGTGCTGCCTGCATGTGAGGACCCCTGGAATGGCGCCTTCCCCAGCCTGCGCCTCTCCCGTCCGAAGCTCCCACGTCCTCCCTTCCCCTGTGGGAATGCCCGGAAGCAGCGGGAATCACCTCTCTCACTCCCAGGAAGCGGCTGTCCCGGATGCGGCCTCTGCCATGCCTCCCCTGCAGGAAGAGGCACTCCAGGCATGCTTGGGGTTGCTGCTGCACCCCCCCCCCCGAGTGTGCTCATGGGCAGCACTGGGGGGCGCATCCACGGGCAGTCTCCGCCCGGCCCAGCGCCACCCCAGAAGACCCCAAGCATCGAGCATGTGGCCAGGCAGCCCCCCCCCCGCCCCGCTGCTGGCCCCTCTTTCCATTCAGCTCTGGGATCGGGCAGAAAGATGCCTTCCGGAACAGTTCTGAAATGCCCACGAACACACAGGACAGGGCCCAGCAGAGCACGGGCCACCCCGGAGGGCCAGAGCTAGGGGCAGCCGGGGGCCGAAAGAAGTGCTCCTAGGCTGGGGGAGAAGTGGGGCCACTGAGCCGGTTGGACAAGACTTCTGGGGAGCCCGCCGGTATCCTCGGGGTGTCCTTTTGAGTCCATTTTAGTCTGGCCAAGGGGACGGCTGCACGTTGCATGAGGGAATAAGCGCAGGTTCAGCAGCCAAGGCCAGTCCTGGGTCTCTGGGAACCTTGTGTTACTTCCACGACTGCATGGAGAGCTGGAAAACGGGTAATACTCCGAAAACAGGTGCAGGCAGACAAAAGAGCCAGGGGGAAGGTTGCTCCTCGTATTCATTCTAGTCCATGTTACCCAAACCTGCAGAGAAGACGAGAACAAAGAGGAGCAGATGGTGTGAACGCCCTGCCTGCTGCTCCCAAAGGCCAGGAACCGAGCGCCGGAAGGCCAGGGCAGTGGCTCGCAGAACCACAGAATCGCACAACTGGACAGTCCTCCGAAAGGGACACTTGGCCTCGGGGTCCTGCTCTGAGCAGGGGCTGGATCCTCCCTTCTTCCAAGCTCTTATTCTGCGATTCTGTGATCTGCAGCTACATGTGATTCTGCAGCCGGCTTGTTTTCAGGGGCCTCAGGACCCAGGGGACCCCGAGGCCCCCACCCCAGCGCACGCCCTGGGGGCGTTCACGGAAGCTTGTCTCCCTGCAGCCGCTTTGTGTCCTGTGCAGCCATGAAGCTGGAAGCCCCGCCTTCTGCCGCCGGCTCGCAGCTGGAGTTCGTGGTCGCCACGGAGAAGGAGTTCGAGGAGGTCCTGGCCATGTCGCAGGGCATCTACGGGGGCCTCGACTATCTCCCCAGCCGCTACCATGCCTGGATCCACGAGCCCAACCGCACCGTCGTGCTGGCCAAGAGGAATGGCGCCGTGGTGAGCACCGTGGGCGCTGGGCTGGCGAACGCCGCCTCCCCTCCCGCGGGCCTCCACCCGCAGCGCAGGGCTCTGGGGAGAGGCTCGGGGCAGGGAGCCACCGCCTCTGGGGAGACGGAAGCGGGGCACGCCGGATACTGCGATGGAGCTTGCGAGGAGGGGGGCCGGCTGCAGGGCTCCGCCCCCCACCCCCCTACAACGAGGCCGCGCTGGATCCGGGCGGCCCTTTCCGGAGGAGGGCTGCTCAGGCCCGGGCGGCACGAGGACGTTCACGGCAGCAGCCGTGGGGCGCCGGCCTCCGCCCCTCGTGCCCCACCAAGCAGCCGGGCTCGGGGCTAGATGCACTACAGGCTGCGAACTTTCTTGGCTTGAACGGAAATTGCCCAGGCCCAGGCAGGCGATTCCCAAGAGTTCCCATTTAACTGGCATTTCCAAGTGCTTTTGTCAGGCTGTAAAGGGGAAGAGACGACCGGGTTCTGAGAGCGCCAGGTAATTTCTGATCATCTACAGCCTTTCAAAGGCATTTGGGTGGACTTCAGACTAGCTGGTGGGAGTGAAGTGCCGCAGGGCCTGCTGGGCTTGCCTGGGCAGCTGTCCATGGTCCTGGCGGCTACGGCAGCTGGGGGGGCCGCTGGCCTGCCCGCCTGCCCGTCCTCAGGCCCGGGAAGGCGCAGCTCCCGGTCGCCTCAGCACTGACCGCCTGTGTCTGCAGCAGGCCCTGGCGCTCCCCGTCCCCTCGCAGCCCCCAGCAGAGGGGTGGCTCCCCCTGGCTGAGCCTGGGCTCAGTCCCGGGGAGCCCGCAGGCCAGCACAAGCACCCTGAGCTACGGCACTGTGTGGGGCACAGCAGGCCCCACAGCTGCAGGGGTTCATTTATCCGTTTGAAAGTTCTTACATGCCTTCTAATGATTGTAAAATCTCAGGACAGCTTACTTAAATAGATCCCCCCCAAAAAGGGGGGCATGGCTCAGGAGGAGGGACCTGGGTGTCCCTGGCAACGTCTCTAGATCAGGTGGGGGCACCCTACCGCTAGTCCATGTGGGCCAGCCTGACGCAGATGGCAGGCAGCGGCCGCAGGGATGTCCAGCTGCAGACACATCTGTCTGAGGCGGCGCGCCATCCGGCTCACAGTTGGGGGGGCTTTTCCCATGAAATATGCTACCCCAGCCCCTGGGCACCTGAGCACCCCAGCCCCTGAGCGCGTTGCTCCATGGTAGTATCCTGCGTGGGCTGAGATGCCCCACTTCTGAGCCCCCGGCAAGGGCTGATGCTGACGGGGGGTGCATTCGTGGTGGGCCTGCTTGAGCCTTCCTTCCTTGCAACAGACCGGGGGGAGGGGGGTTTTGGGGGGGCCGGAAGCGATGGGTGAGTCTGCCACACGTGAGTGTAACACTGACGCTGGAACTGGGCGTGTGCTGTCGGCCGCATTCTGGCTCGCCCCTCCTTGGCCTGAGGGATCCCGGGCGGGCTGTGCGTGGCGCTGGCTGTCCCGGCCGGAGTCAGATGGGGCAACTCCGGCCCCTGGCTCCTGTTCCAAATCTGTGGGGTGAGCTGGCAGGAGCTGCAGTGCTCCCCAGGCAGGCTGCCTCCTGTTGAAACTCACAGGAGGCCCCGGGGGTCAAACGCTGGGCTTTCCCTGGCCAGGTCCCTGCCAGGAAAGGGGGACCCTCCCCACTTCAGTCCCTTTGGGACCGGCTGCAATCCCCGTTCGTGAGCTGAGCCTGGGCCTTGCTGCCCTCCGTGCGCCCACCCCACAGGCTCGCCCCCTCCCGTGGCTGCACGCACTGCGAAAGCAGCTGCTTCTCCACCAGGGCTGGCCCCCGACACTCGCCCCAGGCAGGGGCAGCTCCTGGGCACGGTGCTGCGGTCACGCGCCCCCTGCCCGGGCCCGGCCTCCACCGGGCCTCACTGATCCCCGGAGGCGCCCCGAGTTGCTCTGGGAAAGCCACAGCTCCTGGCTGCACACTGCTCAGGTGTGCAGCCTCCTCTGCATGTGCCGCCTCCCCCCCCCCCCCCTCCAGTTCTGGTGCAGTGTTGCACCGTCTGATGTTTCATGGGGTTTTGGGTTTCCAGCTTCGTTCTGGTCTCGCTTTCTCCCTTCTCTCTCTCTCTCCCTCCCTCCTCTTTCTTCTTTCTTTCTTTTTTAAAGAAAGCAATGGATTAAAACCGAATTATTTTTGCTGGATTTTATTCACGTAGGTGTGTGGGGGATCAGGTCCCCGTCAAGGAAGGTGACGGGGCTCTCGGAGGACCATGACGGGGCTGGTGCAGCGCGGATCCTAAATCCTTACAGTTCGGCCTCAGGACACACGTTGCCAAAAAATATGTCTCCCCCTTTCTGTGTCTCTGCTCTTGAGGCCCCCGTAGCGTAAGGGCCCCCGTCCAATGGTACTAGTATGACACTTACTCTGTGATCTTGCTATATCGCTGCCTTTGTTCTCTTTTTTGTAAATGTCTTATAATGTGCCGAGAGTTGCCGTTTGACCCGCGTTTCTCGTGCCTTCCCACCGCCTCCCCCCTGCCCCCGCGACCCTCACCCGCTTGTGTGATTAACAGCACCATCTCTCCCGACTGCAGCTGTGCTCGGGCGGCCCGTCCCGCGCGCTAACGGCTCTCTCTCTGCTCCCCGCCGCCAGATCGGGCTCCAGTCCGTGTGCGTCGTGGACGCGGGCGAGACGGCGCTGGTGGAGGGGCTGCGCGTGGCGCCGTGGGAGCGCGGCAAGGGCGTGGCGGGGCTGCTGCAGCGCTTCTGCGCCCAGATGCTGCGGGAGGCGCACCCCGCCGTGCGGGTGCTGCGCCTGACGCGCGACGACCAGCTGGGCCCCCGGGACCTCGCCAAGTACCGCGTCATCGCCAAGCAGGTGAGCCGCCGCCGCGGCGCCGGGCGGGCGGGCGCGGCCGGCACGGGGGGCGGGGGGCTGC